AATAATCCACATGAGATAATGGAAATGAAATTCCAAAAGAGATTTTCCGTGAATGTATGTTTAATACAGTTATGTAGTCTGTTTATACCACTATGTGCACTCAGCCATGTTACGTCAGCGCTTGCCAGTCATGTGTCATGCATAGTGCTTGGAAACCCCAAGGACAATTATGACATGGCGAGCGAGTATTTTGTACTTCAATTTTATGGCTTCATGTCACTCACAAGTTAGTTTGATGTTACGTACATTATTAACATTACAGAACCCACATATTCCTGCCAGTTTTAATATGTATTTTGTAATCAACAAGTGTGTAACACCGGTCAAAGTTTCACACTTCTCTGGCCATTATCTCCGTAACCGTTCAACTTTGGACATAGGTGTTTTGGGTTATATCGCCATACTTTAACATAAGAAACACCCTCCCGAAGTTTAGCACATTCCTCCTGGGACATCCTGTGTATGATAGTCTTTATTATTTCTTGTGTTATATGTATGTATTTGTTCATTCACTGTACAGTTACACCTTTTTTTTTACATACAGGATTGTTTTTTGTATATATATAGCGAGTAAACTGTTAGTAGCTTTAGATTTCTGTAGCTATCCCTGCACGATTCCAGCCCTGCAATGTATCTTACTGCCCTTTTTTTGGAGTACAAAAATTCTTCTAGTGAGGGTCTTAGCACTATGTCCCCATACTATTATTCCATAAGATAGATGAGGATAGATCAAACCGTAATACAACATTCTTCTTTCATTTAGATCGAGTATTTTAGATACCCTGTTAATTATGAACAGGTTACAGCTAATTCTACTGCACATTTTTTCAATATGTAATTCCCAGCTCAAGGTACTATCTATTACTACCCCCAGGAAATTTGTGCTTTTTACATTTGATATTTCCCTGTTCTTTATTGGGATTTTTAGATTACTTTCCTGCCTGCATTGTTTTGTCTGGAAGAGAATATAGCGAGTTTTAAATGGATTTATAAATAAATTATTTGTCTCAAAGTATTGCTCTACCACTCCTGTATTATTTGAAGTCATATTTTGGAGCTCATTCATATCCTGTCCTACATTCAGTATTGCAGTGTCATCAGCATACATTACTGATCTTCCTTGTGTTAGATGTGGGATATCGTTTGTATATAAGATGAAGAGTAATGGGCCAAGGACCGATCCCTGGGGGACTCCATATCTCACTGGGAGGCTATTTGACAAATATTCTTGCATATGATTGCCTTCTGTGTGTTACTTTTACGTGTTGAGTTCTGTTTCTGAGATAGGATTTCATTAGCTTACGTGGTATACCACGGACTCCATATTTGTATAATTTATCCATGAGAATGTTATGTTGAATACAGTCAAAGGCTTTTGATAAGTCTAATAGTACACAGTTGCATTTTATTTTATCACTTAAACTTTCTATTGTGTTTTCATTAACTGTGGCAATTGCATCATTAGTAATTTATTTTTCTTAAATCCAAACTGAGATTTATTAAGTATATTGTGTTTTTCTAAAAAAATGCTATTATTTGGTTAGCTATTACTGTTTCCAGAACTTTTGAAGGGCAGGTACAAGAGTAATTGGACGATAGTTATTTGCATCTTCTTTTATCCCGTTTTTGTAGATTGGTTTGACTACTGATTTTTTTAGTTTAGAAGGGAAGATGCCTTCTCTGATTGATGCACTGACCAATTCTAAGAGTGGCTTTATTATGTAAGGTGTATATTTTTTTTTAGCAGATATGGCGAGATGTCATCAAGTCCTGCTGAATTTTTATTCTTCATGCCCTGAATTACTTTAATCAATTCAGTATCTGTTATTTCTAATAGGACAAGTGAATCTTTTATGCTTATATTGTTATTACTAGTTTATGGATGTAATATATTTTTGTTAAGTATAAGTTTATTTACGGTTTCTATGAAGGTTTTGTTAAATATGTTACATGTTCTATTCAGACTTGAGACAATTTCATTTCCATCTTGTAAGTGTACATTACTAGTGAGAGTATTTTTGGTGAGCCTCTTTGCTCCATGTAGTTAGTTGGGATCATTACCAGCTACTGAAGGCCTCTGTTCCACAAAGTCAAGTGCCGGTTAGTTAGTATCATTATTAACTGTTAATTTGGTTAGTTGTATTCCACTGGAAAGGGGGGGGGGATTACCTGCTGCTCAAAAAGGGCTCTGCTCATGCAGTGATATTCTTAGTTAATCAGTTACAGATTCTGGACAATCCTTTCAAGTGACATGTGTGGAAGCTGATCATGCCATTTGCTTATTCTTTTATTCACCCATTCTCCAGTTTCCTGTAGGCCACAACTGATGTCAAATGTCTTTGCATTAATGTACAATATACAGAATATCAGGTTTACCAACACATATGGTAACAATAAGGGACAGGTTCAGATTTATCAATGTATGAGTACACTGTCTCTACATTTGTCTTATGTCTTGGCTTCTTACATGATCAAGCCTTGTTCATCTCAGTATCTTTCTTAGCGTGCTCATTTCAGTTGTTTCTAGCTTCAACTTGTTTTCATAGTGTCTAATCTTGTTCCTGCTCTGTAGAATGTTATGGGGTAATGACACTGTTATAATCTTTTACTTTTTGTTTCTCTGTGCGAGTATTTATTTTTCCACATTGTATCATTGATTATTTATTGCTGACAAATTATAATCCTTTGGGCATTTGGGCAATTGTTGTAGCAATTATGAATGCCAAATGAAATGAATGAATGAATTTAGTCATCCAGATATTATGACTACTTATTTACTTTATGATTCACTTCTTCTTGTTGGACTCCACTGCTTCATATTTCTGCTCCCCAGTGTTTAAAATTAATTACTTATTAAACTACTGTGAAAGCTGAAAACACAAACACAATCCATGAACAAGTAAATAATTACAATGCAAATATTAATATAAATGTACGGAATTATTATTCAGAATTAATGTATGACCCATATTAGTATTTGTATAGAGAAACCTTTGACATTTCAATTCCAATGGTCTGTAGATAGCACAAACCATAGTTACCATTATTTTACATATGTCAATGAAGAAAGTGAAACTCTCCACTTTATGCCTCAATTTCTTGCATAATATATGTTTTTATGACATTATACATCCTAAGAAACCCTTGTGTCATAATTCAACTGTTCCATAAATCACATAAAAAAATCATCCTGCATTACAGGTAACTTTTTAAACGATAATCAAATCAAGTTCATCCGACTGGTGTAAAAGAATGCTCTTGCTAAGGTACCGCTTGACCAGCCCTGCATTCAAGAACAAGGAAAAGACGGATTCCAAAAATAGACCTTTTAACTGGAACTAAACGGTATTACAATTGCAGTAGTACAGTACCTGAACCTTCAGTTACAATGCCGTCTAGACATTGCAAATAGTCACCTACGACTTAAGGCGGGTGAGGGGAGAGACTGTGATTTGCACATGGTATATTTTCGCCTCTCACAACAGTTCAAGCATTTGACAGGTGGCTAATTGCTTTGACAAGGTTGTACAGCCGCACTCAAAACATGCTCCATAATTTTAAAAACCACACTTTAAATCGAGGTGAGAACATACGTTACACAGATCAACATCCTATATTCCTATGCATGTTCTTTAGATATTACAAGCGTTAAAAGTAGTATAATATATTTGACTACTTGTATAGTCGAATGACTACGAGATAACTTCAGACCCCCCGCGAAGACAGTTTCCAGCACTTCGTATGTAATAACAGAGCTAGATATTACTTACGCAATGAATTTCCAAAAACTGCCGATGTCTTCATGTTTATGAACACTTCAGTACTTCATTTTTTCTTACAATTACATATTATAGAAATATATTTCGCGTTTTGGTTTATACGATCGATCTCTCATGCCCCTAGCAATTTAACAGAATAAAAGCGCGGGCGCGCATCCATGGATAGCAGACGATTCGAAGCGAATATTCACGAGTTGGACCGGTGTCACGTGGAGCAACACTTGCAGATTCTCCAATCAGATGTAAATATTTGAACAGACCCAAAGATGGCAGCGGTTGAAGGTGTGTAAGGTTGAGTTGTCAGGTAGAATAGTTGGCTCAACAGAAATAGCGGGAAACAGAAATTCGTGTTTGTCAGACGAGGAGTGGTATTCATTTAATTAATTGTATATTTATTACCAGCAACTCCTAGAAATATGCTACGAGTGCCATCAAATTACAGGGACCTCCACAAACGATTTTTACAAATACTAATGAATCGTCGAATGGTATCGTATGAAGATGCTTTTCGTTTGTTCTGCAAGATGTACCAGTCTGAAGAGCGTAAGACATTTTCAGTTATTTTTAACGATTGTATGCAGAGTTACAAAAAGGTTTCAAACCCCATAATCCGAAAGTGCTATGAAACTGAAGCTCTTACTGAGCAGCTTACCAGTACATTTAGTAGGCGCCGGCACTATTAACGTCAGTGTTGTAATCTTTTATAACGCATACTTTTTCATCGGGAATCAGTTCTTTGAGCAAGGTTTAAGTAATGACCAGCATATTTATTTATTTATGGTTCATTTAGCCAAGCTGACAGTAGCACGAAATATATAGCATCAAGTGACAGGATGTATAGCGAATAGTTAACTGCAAAGGATGTGGAAGGACTTGCTTGTAGCCTAATACTATCCTGGTCTCTGGGCCGAGATTTGTGCCTGATACCTGGAATACAAAGCAGGAATACCACCCATTCAGCCGTGGTTTAGGCGTACATACTTAGAAGCGTGCAAGAACAAATTGTTCTTGTGAGTAATATTTGAAGGCAGCAAGGATCTGTCAAATATGGAGTGCCACAGGGCTCGATTTTGGGTCCTTTGTCGTTTCTTTTATATATTAATGACCTGCCATCAGCATTAAGTACTAACAAGAAGTCATTGTTGTATGCCGATGATACAAGTATATTAGTGTCGGGTATTAATATCGATGAAATTCAAGAAAGGTCTAAATTTATGTTAAATTCCTTAAGCCAGTCAGACTACAGTCTGACGTTAACTCTATACAAGGTTGGTGCATTGCAAACTATATGAAACTCAACATCAGTAAAACTAAAGTTATATCCTTCTCCAGGAAAACCAACTTACTTATCTACGATTATAAACTTTTTCAAACGTCAATAGCCCGGACCGATTCTGTAAAAGACCTGGGAGTGTTTATTGATGCTAAGCTATATTTCCATGACCAGGTCAATTACATTTTCTCTCAATGTGCGAAACTATTGGGTCTAGTTCGTAACATTACCTACAATTTCTCTTCGCTAGACTGTATGTTCAGTTTGTACACTACGTTAGTTAGGTCTAAACTTGAATATGCGTCCGTAGTCTGGAATTCGATTACGTCAACTGATGCCAAGAAGCTGGAACGCATCCAGCAGAGGTTTGCGGCCCTTTGTTTTAAACGTTT